TTAACACTTGCCACAATGCAGATCACCAGCAAAGGTTTACTATCAGAATGTATCAAGAGTGCCTACAAGCTGACAGAAATAAGACAATCTCTTTGAGAAAGGGATCAAGGATTGAACAGGAAATTCACAAAGGGGGAAACCAAAACAGACCATGACAATATGAGAAAAAGAAAGCTTTTCCTTGTAAGTAATCGTGGAAATGCAAGTTTAGGACACTGAGATCCCATTTTGCTCCCTTCAGTGTAAAAGCATTAAAAAAAAACCAACAACAACGAAAAAAAAAAAAAACCCAGCTGTACGATTTGTTGGTGGTGGCATGGAGCAGCGGATTCCTTACATTGTTGGCGTGAGTATAAATTGGTACAACCACTTTGAAGAGCAATTTGGCACCATCAGGTAAAATTGAATTTGTACGAACTCAGCAGCGATTGTGCACCTAAGATAGATCCCAGCGGTCTTCAACCATTTATCGCGGAGAATTGAGCCCTAATGTCCTGAGGCATCATTGTGTGAAATGAATTAACTTCTCATTTAATGCATCTAGAATGGTGCTAGTTACATACCATTCATGGGAACTCGAAAAATAGTCATCATTCCAATTATCTTCTGTGTTCTGTGGTTCAGAGGAGGAACCCCGATTGAGAAAGGCTTCCCCTTGGCAAAGTACGCGAGAAGTCATGAAGAATGTCAGGAACTTGTTGCTTGAAAGAAAAAAAAACAATTCAAAACAATCTAAATGTCCATCAAGAAGAGGGGAAAAAAAAAAAAGAATCGTGGTCTATTCCTGCAATGGAGTGCTATGCAACAGTTAAAAAAAAAATAGACAACCTACAACCACTTGTATTGATAAGGATGAATATAAAAAATGTCACGGTGAAGGAAGAATCAAATTGCAATAAAATAAATGCAATATGATTCCATTGAGATGAAATTTTTTTTATTTCTTTATTTTGAGAGGGACAGAGTGTGCATACGTGGGTGTGCACAGGGGAGGGGCAGAGAGAGAGAGGAGCAAGAGAATCCCAAGCAGGCTTCACGCTAGCACAGAGCCCAGCGTGAGATCATCACCTGAGCTGAAATCAAGAGTCAGATGCTTAATTGACTGAGTCACCCAGGTGCCCCTCTATGAAATTTTAAAATAGTCAATTTGCTGTCTATTGTTATATATTCCTTATATGTACTTACATACATGGTAAAAAAATATGAAAACAATGCATGGGCATGATAAACTTCAGGGTCAGGAGAGTGGTTATCCTTCAGATTATTTTTAAATTATGATATAATATTAAAATATAATAATATATAATCATGTATTAACACATTACACTTTATATAATAAATTTAACATCACATAAATATATAATATATAATTATCATTATTATATGTCATCAATAGATTATATTATTCCCTACCTTGTTCTGGATGTTAAAGTCGATGATTTCAAGAATGTGCCATGTTAAAAAATAAGCAAAATATACACCAGTCCCTACTTCTACCCCAATCTCTGCCCCAGTCCATCTGCACTAAAGCAATTGAGTTGCATGACTTCTCTTTCGGGAGACAGAGGAAATTTTTCTTGACATAATTTTATTTTTTAATTAATTAATTTTTTTAATGTTTATGTTTTTTAATGTTTATGTTTATGAGAGACAGAGGGCGAGTGGGGAAGGGGCAGAGAAATGGGGACACAGAATCGGAAGCAGACTCCAGCCTCTGAGCTGTCAGCACAGAGCCCCACATGGGGCTCGAACTCATGAGCTGTGAGATCACGACCGGAGATGAAGTCAGATGCTTAACCGACTGAGCCATCCAGGCACCCCCAAGAGATTTTTTTTTTGACAGAATCCAATCATTTCACTCTCCAGTTCAAAAGGGTATGCTGTTTTCTGAGTGCTGCCGACAAAACCCAAATTCTGCTGTGTGGCATTCGAAACTCTCCAGAAGCGGGGTGCAGACCACTTTAGAGGCAGCTCTTCAATCTCCCATTTTCAGGCACTTTACATTCTTTTCCGACTGGAGTGTTTGCCATTTTTCATATATACTGTCATGCTTTTCCATCTCATGCTTTTGCTTATCACATTTTTGCTTTTTGGGAACTCATTCCCTCCTTTCAATTTGATGTTATGTACCAAAGCCTTAGTATGTCCCTATGCTTGCACAGAGCAAGTCACCTGCAAAGACATAGTTGAAGATGCACACACAGATTTAGCTTACGAGTGTGTACTGTAGCATCGTCTCTAATGGTAAAAATATTAAAAATAACCTTAATGTCCAAGGGATCCATTCCACATAGGACACACCACCTAAAATTAAAAGCACACATTCCTGAGTCAAAAGGTAGACTCCCTGAGTCAAGTCCCAGCTCTGGAACATTTTGGCACATTCCACCTGTATGATCGCAGCCTCTCTGTGCCTACGCATTCTAATCTGTAACACGGGAATAAACCATTACCTCCTTCACAGAGTTATTAGGGGGTTTACATGTGTTAATACTTGTGAAAGCACTTAGAACAGGGTCTGGCACATTGGAAATTTATTTATGGATGGCGAATTTTGGAGATATGTTATCTACAAACTTCTGGCCTAAAAGAATGGTCACAATCTATTTTGGTGTCCTAAACCTAGGCATGATTCTTGGTAGTTAAATCTAACATCATACTAATCTAGCTAAGGGCTTAAAAACCCTATGTTGAATGCATAAATTGCCACTAGTTAGCTGAGTGCTTTTTAATTTTAGGTTCTAAAGTAGTGAATCAGTTTTGAGGAGTCAAGTAGAAAAACCCAAGTGTTACAGGGTGAGTCTTACAAGTAAAGTGAGAAGGAACTAGATTAGGATAAAAAGCCAAGCAGAGGACTAAAAGAAGAAAACACACGGGTTCTGGAGTCAGTAACTCTGACTCTGCCACTGACTTTGGGCTGTGGCCTTGGGCCTATTTCCCTGACATCCAGTTAGGTTTCCTTTTCTGTCAAAGAAAGACAATATCCACCATGATTAGCTCTTTGAAAAGTTTGGAAATTATATAATTAATAATTTGTGTTACTCTGTGCCAGGTGCTGGTCAAAGCTTTTCTCTCTCTCTCTTTTTTGTTTTTTTTGGTAGAGGGGAGGGGAACAGAGGGACAGAGAGAGAGATGGGGGAGGGGAAGAGAGAGAGAGAGAGAGGGGGAAGAAATTGAGAGAGAGAATCTTAAGCAGACTCCACACTCAGCATGGAATTCGGTATGGAGAATTGATACCATGACCTTGGGATCATGACCTGAGCTGAAAAGTCGGATGCTCAACTGTCTGAGACGCCCAGGTGCCTCACTTCTCACATTTTCTCTAATCCTCACAACAACTTCATGGGGTATATTGTGGGTTGAATTTTGTCTCCCTAAAAGATATGCTGGAGTCCTAATCCCAAGTACCTGTGAATGGGCCCTTCCTTGGAAACAAGGTGTTTGCAGATGTAATTAGTTAAGATGACATCATACTCGAGGGCGCCTGGGTGGCTTAGTCAGTTAAGCGTCCGACTTTCGCTTAGGTCATGATCTCGCGGTTCGTGGGTTCGAGCCCTGCGTCGGGCTCTGTGCTGACAGCCAGTTCAGAGCCTAGAGCCTGTTTCAGAGTCTGTGTCTCCTTCTCTCTCTGACCCTCCCCTGCTCACGCTGTCTCTCTCTCTCTCTCTCCTAGAAATAAATAAAAATATTTAAAAAATAAATAAATAAATTTATATGCCCTTTGGAATCATTTGTAAAATTTTTAAAAAGTACTGATACCTTGGTCCAAACCCCAGTAATACTGACTTAGTTGGTCTGCAGTATGGCCCAGGCAAGGTGATNGCGGTTCGTGGGTTCGAGCCCTGCGTCGGGCTCTGTGCTGACAGCCAGCTCAGAGCCTGGAGCCTGTTTCAGTCTGTGACTCCCTCTCTCTCTCTCTCCTAGAAATAAATAAAAACATTTAAAAAAAAAAGATGACATCATACTGGATTAGGGTGGGCCCTAAACCCAGTGACTGTTGTCCTTATAAGAAGAGGAATTAAGGACACAGGCCCAGGGCAAATGCCATGTGAGGACTGAGGCAGAGATGGGAGCCATGTGTCCAGGAGCCAAGGAGCACCACAGATGACGGGCACACCCCAGAAGCTGGAAGACAAAGAAGGCCCTTGGAGCCTCAGAGGGAGCATGGCCCTGCTCACACCTTGATCGTAGACTTCTAGCCTCCAGAACTGAAGAGAATAGGTTTCTGTTGTTCCGAGTCACCAGATTTGTGGTAACTTGATACAACAGTCCTAGGAAACTAATACGGATGCCATTTTGACAGAGGCAGAGATGGAGGCTCAGAACAGGTACGCTCTCAGGCAGCTGGTGAGCCAGCTAGGATTTGAAACCAGGGCTGACGCTGGAGTCTGTGCTCTTAATAACTGGATAATATTCAGTTGAATTCTGGGTAGCTTCATTCTTATTTTGGGGAGTGCCAAAGTTTTTATTTGCAACATTTACATTTTGATATACTTCACTATCTACTGTCCCAAAAGGCATCATTCCGTGGTATGAGTGGTATTGTCACATGGTTATCTGAAGTCTGTCCTCATTATCCCAGCTGAGTCTATGTTCAAATTATACAATTTTCAGGAGCTTCACATAGCAGGGTCCTTGAGCCCCGCTGGGGATGGCAGGCTGGGGCTGAGGTGCTTTCTCCATGGCTCTTGGGGGAAAATGTTCCAACAGCTATGCCCCCTGAGCCAGGACGGAAGCAAGCTGCTACATGCACGACACGTGATAGCCACTTCCGGAGGCCCTTGCTGACTTGGAGAGAGAATGAAGAAGTGAATAAGTAAAATCTGAACTACCCCTCAAATTCCATTTTGCCCCCCAAATTTACCTTCTTCATCCATCAAAATGATGTTTCAGTTTGCAAATATCTTCATTTATTCTATTGCCTCTCTGTCTCTCTCTCTGTCTCTCTCTCTGTCTCTCTCTCTCTCCCCCTCTCCTCCTCTCTGTCTCTGTCTCCAAAGATATTCAGGGAAATGCATGCCTGACAGAGATGACTAGAAAAGCAGAGGCGATCCAAGACTGCATTTCCAGCACTGGTGTGAACTTGGCTTTGTTTAATTAGTCATACCTTCGAAGACAGGAAAGCTTCCTGGGTACATACCATCTACCTCCTTTTCACTTTTCATTTACCTTCTTTTCACCCCATGACTGCAGCTTTATCAAGAGCCTCCCTGACATGGTTCCACAGCAAATATAGCAACACGATCTATTTGGGGGCTTCTGCTCTTGGTTTTCAGACGTAGGGCTGCGAGAAACCTATTCATTCACCTCTGTGGGCTCCAGGCTACCATAGGTTGTTATTCAGGTTGATAAAAGCTGTCCCTGGGAGAAACTCCTCCATCATGGCAAGCGTGACCCTGACTCAAGAGTGTAAGCTGAGCCCAGGCACACCTGTACTTCTGACAGATGAGCCAGGCACAGAAAAGCCTCTGCTGACAAGCTTATCGGACAGCAGACACCTGCAGAGGGGCCCACACCTTTTCTTCGTGAAGGCTCCTACGGCAGTTTTGATCCAACAGGTCTGTGCACACTGTCAAAGAGAGATTACCTGGAGATTCACAAAGGGGTTGGATTATGCCAAGCCCTAACGTCATGCTTGGAAGGAAATACAGCCACTCATTCATAACACGGGCTCTGTTTGATGGAATCCGTTGTACACTCCTCGCTGGTTTTATTCCAAATAAAATCCCATCTTTGTCTCGTGAGATAAAAGTGAAGGTGAAGGCGATTTGGACACATTAGGACCACTGTGTGCCTTCACAGGAGCAGAGCCGAGTATTTAGTATCTGTTTAATACTCCGAAGGACCGATGTGACGGAAGTGCCGTCACCCCATATCCTGATTTCACAGATGAGAAAACTGAATTTGGAGATGTGAAGTCACTTTGTGAAACCGCACATCTCATTAGCGCCAGGCAGCACTTGGAAAGGGGCCCTTCCAGGGCTATGGCCATTAGCAGCTATCTCCAAGGAAATTGACCCAGAGAACCCAAGGCCCAGGGGCTTGGGGGGAATTAATTCTGTTTTGGGTCCTTCATTTGGGGGGCTCATACTGTTATGCATCGGCTCTATGGCCGGTAGACCCGCAGGCATGACCCTGCCATCTAGAACTTGGGGCAGACGTGCAGAACAGCCTGGGGTGACCAGCAGGCTGTGCCTTCAGCCTCCATGCAAGTCTGAACAAGAGGTGAGTGGTCCCACTCTGTCAATTTAGAGGCACATCAATCTAGACTTGGAAACGGTGCTTCTCACTCGGGAGCAATTTTGTCCCCCAGAAGACATTTGGCAATGTCTGGAGACATTTTTGTCGTCACAGATGTGAGGGGGTGCTGCTGGTGTCTAGCGGGTAGAGGCCGGGGCTGCTGCCCAGCATCTCACAACGCACAGGCTGGCCCCACAGGAAAGAATGATCTGGCACAACACGGCAGTAGCGCCAAGGTTGAGAAGCTGCTCTGAAATCTTATCACCCCCCGACATGTGAAGTTCTTGGCACAGAAGCTAGCAACAAATGGGAGCTTATTTATCATCCATCATCTGTTTCCAAGTGTTGCTGTGTGATGGCCAAGTCTGTGGTCCTGGGTGGGTGATCCCGGGGGGGTTAGGAGGACCTGGTCCTTCCTCCTCTGGGTGACCGCACAGGGCCACTATGTGCCAGGTGCGCGCCAGAATCTGGCCACCTGGTTTGTTCTCTAATGCTAGTGCTCTTGTTAGCATGTGTGCTCCTTGTAAATTCATGCCTTCACTGAAGGTTTTTTGTGCTAGATTTTTTAACAGAGGAGGCAAGGTATGTGACTAGCAGTGGGGAGCACAGACTGATCTCTAAAAAGCCACTTATTGAGTCTGAACTCTAAGGCTCTGGTGGACATGGAGTCCATAAGGACAGCACCGTGAAGAGGAAAGAGCATGGTCGGTGGAGTCCAAACTGGCCTTTGATTCATAGCTCAACCCCTTCTCAGAACTACCATTTCCTCATGAGTGAAACAAGAGTGATAATCCTTACCCTCAAGGGTCAGTGGGAGAATTCACTGAAATAATGAGTATAAAGTACGTAACCCAGCAGGTGGCATGATAGACACTTACATGGTACCCATCGTTAGGAAAAGGTTAGGACAGGCTGGCCTTCGAGGTCTGCCCGAAGCCTAGTTGTAGCCTAGTTAAAACAGTGACCTGAAGGCTGTTTGGATGACATTGCCCACCTTTCTGCTGGTCCCCATGTACCCAGGCACTTTCCTGACACAGCTGGGTTGGCACCATGGGTTGGGATGGTATCAGGACTCCTGGGGAGCTCTCAGCAGGGGAACTGGGTCAGCTTTTGCTGAGATGGGTCTTGAGTATTGAAAACAAATGAGGGAGCATTCAAGAGGAAATGGGCCATGACCCCGTTCTGCTACTATCTGTCCTGGGAGGCGGCTGTGGTGTAAGAGATGCATGTGACCGGCAGCTCCATCCCCGCACTGTGCAGCCCTCAGTGAGTGACATATACTGTTGGAACCTCGCTTTTCTTCCCTCTAAAATGGAGAATATTGGCTACTTCGTGATAGTTACATAAAGATTCCATGATGACTGGGGGGAAGGCAATGTTGACAAGGATAAATAATCAAAACATAAGTATCTGGCTCTAGTGGGAGATTCGTAGAAGTTAATACACTTGCTCTTATTTATTTTATTTATTTTTTCTTAAGGAACAGCCAGATTCCTCATGCAGGTGAGAGTCTGCTTCCATGGTTCTGTTCACCTGCCTAAACATCCCCTCATTAGTTAAGGACATGGTCCTTCCATCCATGTCCATGTCCATGTTCCTCTCTTTCCATATCCATTCTCACCACTGCCTCTATGCCTTTGCCAGTAGCGGGTGTCTCAGAGAAGCCTTCTCTCTCTTTTCATCCAAACCTCTTCCTCTCTCGAAGCACAGCTCTGGTCTCTTCTCTCCTGGTGACCTCATCTTCCCCAACAGCTTCCAGTCACCACCTCTTGAGCATCAGAGAGTGACCGCTATGTCGAGGAAGACCACCTTGCCTCATGTGGCCACCATTAAAGGTCGAGGTGAAGGATCTATAGCTTTCTTTCCTTTTTGTTTCAAATGTTTGCATCTGGGGATTTCTACTAAACAGTGACAGCTGATGCTCATCCCTCACCTACTATATACTATCATCCCTCTTCGCCCAACAACTAACACTTCTTGCTCTAAAATGCTATTTCACAGAATTCAGTGTGCCTACGTAGCTCTTCCCTCCCCACCCCATCTAAGCCTCAGGGGCCATGTGATATTTGACTTTGTATCTCTGGACTTTAACAAACAGTCAGAAATAGGGTAGGCAAACTTAGCGAACACTGAGGGACGACTGAACCAGTGCAAGATTTTTGCGATAACGAACCTCCCTTCCCTCTCCTCGGCCAAATTCCCCACCTCATGAATGTCTATACATATGACCAAAGGTGAGGGTGGGCAGACATTCAGGCTTCCTCACTGTGTTCCTGAGACTCACACTTGAATCTCTGACATCGAAGGCCCACTTTGCAGAATCCTGATCACAGACACCCCTCCCTGTTTTCACAAGAGGTGGACAGCTGGGACATTTTTTCCTTCTTTTCTCCTGAGCACTCCTTCTATACATGCATTTTATTTTTTTCACCAGCCAATCTACAGGCTATTGTCCAAATGAAATGTCCCATAATGCCTCTGACCTCCAGGGACACGTTCTGCTTGCCCCAGACTATACATTTTAATCTCTCACCCATTCCATTGAGGACTTCATGCTGGCTTTCATTATTCTTCAAGTGGCTTTGTTTATTTGTTCTTTGTTTTGGGTTACTTTTTCTGCTCTGATTTTAAGAGCATTCTCCCTGACAGAGGCTACTTTCTCAGAAGGCACGCACCCAACCTGTCACTGTCTTTTTGAGAACACGACACGAGGCAAATAGCAAATCCTGTGGAATCCAACCAACCGCTACCTTCCCGCCTCCTCTTCCTCCAAGCTTAGCCTGGTGGCAAAGGCCAGAACCTGGGGAAATAACCCTGGCTGGGGATTTTCAAAAGGAAAAGACATCAGGTGACTTGAAGAGGAGAGGGTGGTAAGCAGAGGATGGAAACGCCAAGACAGAAAACCACCCCACCTGCCCCTTCAGCTCCTGATGAAAAGAGACCGAAGCCATTTGATTCACTTCAATTGCTCTCAGGGCCTGAAATGGCTCCCTCCCCGAGGCCTGTAGGAAAATTCAATTAAAGGGTCCATCTGCGAGGCAGCAGCTGAAGGGGAATGACTGTGGGGAGGCCCACGTTTTCATCAAAAAGACCCAGTGTCCTTCTAGAACGCCCCTCCCCTCTGTGCCCTGCCCCCCTTACTTATTAGGCCCAGCCCTCACCTCACCACTGCAATTCTGTCCAATTAGGCCGGCTCGGAGAAGCAGCTTTCATCTGCTCCTTTCAAATCCATGCATGTTAAAGACGTGGTATATGTCACAGACACGGGACTTGCTGGGAGAGAGTGAGAAAACCCACAAAAAGCCCACAGAGGTTGGGGATCGAAAGCCTCCTGGCCCAATTAATTCCATTGCAACAGCCGGCTCAGTGGTTGGCGTGCCTCAGTGCCTGAGTGCTGCAAGGGCCGCCAAGCCAAAAGGCAGGATGCACTTAAGGAAAAAAATCACCACGAGGGCGTGCGGGTGGCTCAGTGGGTTAAGCATCCAACTTTGGCTCAGGTCATGATCTTGTGGTCTGTGAGTTCAAATACCCTGCTGGGTTCTGTGGTGACAGATCGGAGCCTGGAGCCTGCTTTGGATTCTGTATCTCCCTGTCTCTCTCTCTTTGCCCTTCCCCAGCTTGCTCTCTCTCTATCTCAAAAAATAAATTACTTAAAAAAAAAAAAGGGAAAGGATCACCCCCAGGCAAACTTTCTGGGGTTCCATGAAAAGCAGAGAGGAAGGCAGAAGGGAAGAGTTAAATGGAGTGGCCTCTCAGAACAAGACTTGACCCTTTGGAGCCCTCTGAGGCTGGGGGCTCTAAACCCTGGGGTTTCTTCCCTGCCTTTGTGTTTTGGATGAGGGGACTGGGCCGTGCCACGGGCTACAGGCATGGTGGAGTTTGGTGGCCAAGGGGCAGGTGAGAACTCCACCGTCCCCTGGCCAAGTGCTATTCTGCCACTTAGCAGAGGCTTTCAGAACATGAAGGACGATGCATCTTCCAGGAACCTCATGCATCTTCCTTCTTCCCACACTTCCTTCCAAATAAGCAACGCTCATGCCAGGGTCTGTGGGGCAAGACTGAGCACAGACCCCACAAAGGCCTCTCAGCTCCACATCCAACAGTGTCCCCAAAGGACTCCTTGTTCATCTTGGGGTCTTCTTGGGCTTCTTCCCCTCCCCTTTCTGCAGCCTCGTGATTATTTTTGATTAGAGAACATAGGGACGAGGGCTGCTTGCTGCCTTCCTCTATCGACTCCAGTGAGAAGACCTGGAGTCATTCTGGTAAGAGAGAGAGTTGGCTTATTAACGCAGGCCCTGTGTGAGGCTGGCCACGTAAGGTCCCAGTGTGTGGCTGGGAAGTGGTTTTCTAGGACCGCCATAACAAAGTACCGCAGACCAGTGGCTTAAACAACAACAAGGAATTATCTCTCAGTTTTGGGGACGCAGCCAGAGTTCAAGGTGTCACAGCGGTTCTCCTGAGGCCACTCTCCTTGGCTTAAAGATGGCCACCTTCTCCGTGTGTCTTTTTGCAGACTTTTCTCTGTGCGTGTCTGTGTCCCAATCTCCCCCTTTTATGAGGACACCAGTCGTATGGGATGAGGGCCCACCCTACTCACTTCTTTATAACTTAATTACCTCTTTAAAGACACTGTCTCTCAATACGGACACATTCTGAGGTGGGGGGGTTAGGACTCCAACATAAGAACTTGGTGGCAGGGATGGAGGACTGAGTCCATAACGCATACTTTTGTAGTTCTGCCTAAAATTGATTTGTCATTGGCCAGGTTAATTATTTCATCTCAGGACTTTTAGGACTTTGAAGAGACATCAACTTTACAAAGGACTGGAACTCTCTCAGGGAAGCCCTTTGATAGTGGGTATCAGCGCACCCCTGCTTTATTAAGTGCAGCATAGAGTTTGGGACACAATGTATGGCTGTTATATACAATTGGACTGGAGAGCTTCCATTAAAGAGCAGCATTCATTCGGTCAGGACAGAGTCTGAAAGATCCATTTCCTACTCCGAAGTGGTTAGCACAGCTCACACGTACACACAAGTGGAGTAAATGGCCTTCCTCTCCGTTCCAGACTCTTACCCGTCAGGCCCCACCGACCTCACTTGACCCCCACCATTCTTGCAGTGTGGCCTTGCTTGACATTCCTGAATCCAAGCCTCTGTAAGTGTTGCTCCCTCTTCTGGAAATGCCCTTGGCCTTCTTAAACCATGGAGTATCATGGAAGGAAAGGAGAGGACAAATTAGTTTTACAAACATTCTCTGACTTCCCTACCGGGGGCAGTGGTGTTTATACAAATAGAAGCCATTGGATGCCGCTGGTTTGTGTTCTTTCCCCGCTCGCTGTCCCCTCCTCCCCACCCCCAGTCACAAATGACTCACTCTTGAGTGGAAAGACGCACATCACCACGCTGTAGATACATGTGCTGTGTGGTGCGTGTTCTTAGTCACCGTCTTCTGGGCACTGCTCTTCCCAGGGGTCTGAGTAAAGCTCTTCTGCTTCCAACTTCTTTTAAGAGCCCAAACCACACAAGCCTTCACTCAAATTAAACATGCTTGTCCATGTTTAATAGTTTCAATTAGATGGTGCACTGGACAGACCTGAACCCTTTTCTTCCTCTGGGAGTGTGAGTGCCCTAGGGATCCAGGGAACGCCTGGCTCATGCTTTCCTATGTGATCTCTCCTCTGGGTGAGGGCGTGTGTGAAGACAGACCTCTGACGACCGTGAGCTTCTGCGTCTTGCTCACCCCACTCCTCCTACACCCTGGGCCTCAGGCTCCCTGGAGCTGGGCTCCTTTTGTGAGACAGGGCAGTAAAATAGCTAAACACGTAGGGTGTCTTTCAGACTGTCTGGGTTCAAACTTGATTCTACACCTTTTAATTGCCTGACCTTACTCGTTCACTAACCTCCCCAGACCTCCGTTGCTTGTCTGTAAGATGGGGATCATGAGAACCACCCACTTCGTGTAAGAACAGAGCATGTGTTCTACATATGCTCATTGTTATTGTACAATGTACAGTAACATTCGAAACTCCTGGGTCTCAAGTGACTTCAAGACCTTTGGAATCTCAACACATCATGATTTGGAATGTTTGGGGATAGGATCCGGAAAGAAGCAGCCTTCAAAGCTGTCTGATGTCATTTTCTATTCATTTACCTTTGAGCAAAGCAAGTCAAGAAACCCTTTCCCCTCGTAAGAGCAGATATGTACCTTCAGCTCTGCTTTCAGGAAACAGCCAAGAGCCCCACGCACAGCAAGCATCTTAGCAGAGCTTACTGAGATTTTAGTTATTCGGTTCTTTGTTGAATCCTTTGGGAAGTTTTGCATGAGTGAGACACCAAGTGGCTTGTGATGGGAGGCGAGGGGCAGAGAGGAGAGAGGGGTTGTGTGGTTATGTGACTTGTATGAGACAAGGACACCCAGGAGAAGCATGACCTGTGTTCCTCACACAATACCTGATGAGGGGAGGGGACGGGAGCTGAAGGAGCTATTTGCATGCAAGTCTGCACGCTCTGGAAACAGCCCGAAGTTGGGAGGGAAGCCATTCTTGCCACTTTTGCACAGGCTCTGGTAATGTTCTCGCTGCTCAGAGGTGATCAGCTATGAGGACATGAGGACACGGCAGCCTGATGAGGACATTAGTCATCCAGCGATGGTCATGGTGTGGTGGGTGGGGACAGCCCCGTGAGATGCACAGCCTGGGAGGCAGGCAGAACAGACAGGCTGGCTCATAAGGGACGCCCAGGGCTATGTGGTGAGCGTGAGGTAGTCTCAGATAAAACCCTGCCACGTTGGGCTTTAAGCAGGTCGGAGTTCTCAGTTAGCAGAACCTAACATGTTTTTTTTTTTTTTTTTTAATATATATATATATTTTTACAAATAGTTTATTGTCAAATTAGTTTCCACATAACACTCAGTGCTCAATTTTTAAAATATTTTTATTTATTTCTAGGAGAGAGAGAGAGAGAGACAGCGTGAGCAGAGGAGGGTCAGAGAGAGAGGGAGATACAGACTCCGAAATAGGCTCCAGGCTCCGAGCTGGCAGTCAGCACAGAGCCCGACGCGGGGCCTGAACCCACGAACCGCGAGATCATGACCTAAGCGAAAGTCAGACGCTTAACCGCCTAAGCCACCCAGGTGCCCCGAACCTAACATGTTTTAAACCTAGAAACACTGGCTTCCTACAGACCCTTGAGTTACATGTGTTTCTGGTGACGCCATTTTTTCCTTCAACCTCCACATCAGGGGCCTGTCCAGGAGTGGGTCACCTGTTATGACTGAGAATCTAGAATAAGAAGAAAAGGGAAAGGGTATGCTGGTTGCTTACTTCATCACCCCAAGAACGCCATTCCCAAGTGCTTCTTTGGGTGTGTGTCTGTGAGCCTGACCTTCTGTGTCCATCATTCTGCTCTTGGCTAATCTTTGCTCCTTCCCTCTGGAGAATTAGAACAAAGGATGCATCAAAGGTAAGGAGGTGGGGCTCTCACTGCCATTTAGGGCCAGCATTTTACCTGATCAAAAATGATCAGGTAAGACACAGAGCTCTCATATCTTTCCCTCCACCATTTTGGGTTATCTACAAAATGGCCTTACAAGGCAATGGGTAATGAAAATATACTACTAAATCTCAAATGTACTTGACCTATGGTTCTGTAATCTTGTGTTCAACCTCCATCCACCAATTCTACTCTTAACTTTCAAATCAGTCATTTCAGGAAACACAGAGTGAGCACCTGCTGCATGCCAGGAGCCGTGTTAAACTGGTTTTTATTGTTTTGTCTTTTGGGTCTTTTTGTTTTGTTTTTGCTTTTTAGCAAGCAATTTATTTAACTAAAGTTGAGTTTCTCCGTCCGTAGCTGCCACTGTGGTCTACCCAGCAGAAGTCTGAATATACACATTGTGGTGGAGAGGTAGGTATTGAGCTTATAAAATAGAGGGAAAACCTACACACATAAAACAAGAGATCTGGATTGCCTGTGGTAAGTTCATGGGCCCCCGAGTAAGTGAAAGTTAACGGTGTTTTCTTTTTTTATTTTAATTTTTTAAAAATGTTTATTTTTGAGAGAGAGAGAGCACAAGCAGGGGAGGGACACACAGAGAGAGGAAGACACAGAATCTGAAGCAGGCTCCAGGCTCTGAGCTGCTGGCACAGACCCCGACGTGGGGCTTGAACCCCCTGACCATATGACCTCAACTGAAGTCAGATGCTTAACCAACGGAGCCACCTAGGCACCCTTCTTCTTCTTCTTCTTCTTCTTCTTCTTCTTCTTCTTCTTCTTCTTCTTCTTTCTTCTCCTTTCAAATGTTTATTTATTTTTGAGAGAGAGAGAGTGAGTGGGGGAGGGCCAGAGAGAGAGACAGGGACAGTAAGTCTGGGATAGCATTATGTCTGAAAAACAATGTACACACCTTAATTAAAAAGTACTTCCTTGCTAAAAAATGCTAAACATCATCTGAGCTTTCAATGAGTCTCACTCACCGATCACAGATCCCCATAACAAACGTAATATTAATGAAAAAGTTCAAAATATCGCAAGGATAACTAAGCCATGATAACAGACCTGCAGTGAGAAAATATCGTTGGAAAAACGGAGCTGACAGACTTGCTCAATGCAAGGCTGCCACGAACCTTCAACCGGTGAATAAAAAATGCACTGTCTGCAAAGCGCAATAAAGCAGAGCGCAATGAAATGAGGTAAGTCTGTATTTGGGTCAACAAGGAGCCTGGACATCTGGGACACTTACAAAGTGACCCAAAGATTGTGTGCGTTTGCTTGGTTTGTTGTGTTTGGATGACCGTATAACACCTGCTTCAGGTGTTCGGAATGAGACTTTCGCTAAGTGCTGCTAGACATTTCCTCTCAGGGAGGGATTCATAAAACTGGCCTGACAAATTTGGAGGAAACTCTTTCTCCTCTTGGGTTTATCCAGCAATAATCCCTCAGCCGGCCTTGAAAACGACCAACTCAAAGAAGAGGCACACACTTGGGCACTGCTGAATTCTGGCCCTTGGATCTGTTTCTCTCTTACTTGTGAAAAAGGTACAAAGTTAACAGGCTGCCATCGGAAGACAATTCTGCACAGGTCACTCCCATTTCTGCATGTTCTGTAAACAGAGGCGCTCACAGATTTTGTCTCAGAGTCATTTCAAAGACGTTTGCAGAGCAGACAGCCGCAGAAGATGGAGGTGGTGTCTCGTCCCCAAACTAAAGGCAAATCCATCCAGGAAAAGAAAGATAATGTCTCCCACCCCCCACCCCCCACCCCAGGGCAGAGACCAGGATGCTGACAGCCTGTTACAAAAGATTCAGATTCCTGAAACCAATATTACACTATATGTTAACTAACTAGAATTTAAATAAAAACTACAAAATAAAATACAAAATAAAAGAGAAGAGGCAGATTTTCGCGGTTGAAAGTCCGCTCCTCCAATGCCATCCACGGTGTGAGCAGGCATCATGTGGCCCCCTGCACCTTATCCTGGGGGAACTGGGGCTCGGGGAACCGCACGAGAAAATGATGATCCCCTGGCTATCAGCAGCGGTGTGAGAAAAACCCGCTCTCCCTCTGACTCGGCGGTCTCATGCCTTCTGCCAGGCTCCAGGAATCTGTCGCAGGCTACCTGGCTCATTTGCAGGTAGAGTAAAATCTCAGCCTTCTTGTGGTTCCTGACAGCTACAAGTCAAAACTGTGTCTCTGGCATGTTCTGTTGCAGTCAAATCGCACCTCGATTTTAACAGTTGGCCAGAGGGGATGCTCATGGGCTAAGAGCATTCACTTTGAGTCCAAGTCTCAGCACCGGTGGGCATGTTCTTATTCCTCACGCAGAAAGAAGCCAGGCACTTGGCTGCAGAGATAAGAAGTAAATGGCCTGGGTGGGGGGTTAGCTCCAGCTAACCCAAGCTCTAGCCCACCCTGTCTGATTTGCCCTCTGCCATCTTGCTTTGCTTCTTTTTTTTTAATTAAAAAAAGTTTTAATTTATTTAAATACGTATTATTTAAATAAATATTATTAAATAAATAAAGGGGCAGAGAGATGGAGAGACTCTCAAGCGGGCTCTGTGGGGTCAGTGCAGAGTCTGATGTGGGGCTCGAACTCACGAAACTGTGAGATCATGGCCTGAGCCCAAATCAAGAGTCGTACACTTAACTGACTGAGCCCCCCAGGTGCCCCAATCTTGCTTTTTTTCTGATCAAACTTAATGCCACTCCTCACTTGGGTTCCACTGTTCTCCTTCACTAGGTGTGCGGGAAAGCAGCTCGCTGAGGGAATACAGCACTGAGGCCACGAGTAGAATTTTTAATTCGTGCTACAACTTCTGTAGTTTTATTGTTCTGTATACCTGTGAACGTAATACATGATGATTGTAAAAAAGTTATGATTGAGAAAAATCACAAGAAGAGTAACATGGAATGTTCATCATCATACTCCATAGGAAGTACCGTGAACATTTTGATTACATCTTTCTAGGCATTTTTCTATACATATACATATTGCATTTTTCTTTTAGGTTTGTTTTCTTCACTTTCTTGGTCTTTTTCTAAATATAACTTTCGTTTTTCTTTGAACAGCATAGTGAGGATATCTTCTCATTTAACAGTTTAAAATTTGACATTATTTTTTAATGTTATTTATTATTTTTGAACGAGAGACCAAGTATGGCAGGAGAGGGGCAGAGAGAAAGGGAGAAACAGAATCCGAAGCAGGCTCCAGGCTCTGAGCTATCACCACAGAGCCCGGTGTGGGGCTGGAACTCACAAACTGTGAGATCATGACCTGAGCCAAAGTCTGACACTTAACTGACTGGGCCACCCAGGCGCCCTGAACATGACATTATTTTTAATGAATATGTAATGTAGACATATCCTTATTTATTTAACCAATGTCATTTATGTGGAAATGGAAGTTGCTCCTCATTTTCAATATCATAAATAATGCTTTTATGGCCTTCTCTGTGTGTGTGTGTCCCTGTCTCTCTCTCTCTCTCTCTCATCTATCTATCTATCTATCTATCTATCTATCTATCTATCTATCTATCATCTACCTACCTACCTATCTACCTATCTATCCACACTAGTTTCAATGTTTCCTTAGGATTTATTTGCAGGAATGGAACTACACAGTCAATTGCATCCAAATTTTTCCTTGCTTCAAGTTTGTTTTTCTTCTACTCCAATAATCTTTCTTTCTGATTACAAGGTTGTGATGATTTGTCTGGAGGAAACAAATACGTGTATTTCCTCATTCTTGGCTAGGTTTTGTTTGGTTAAAAGTGTAGAAACAAGCTCATATTAACTTATGAAATGAAGAAAGTATTAGCAGGATCCCAATCTACTCCTCAGACCTGACAAAAAGACATATCTGAGCTTTAGAAAAAAAACAGAAGGGAGAGGTCCAATGCCATGAGACTTTTCTAACCTTACATCTCTGTTCCTCTTGATTTTGGATGACTGGCTCCTTTTACAAGTGGTAAACATGCAAACAAATGGTCCCCAAGGTTTGCATTGGATTGCCGCAGGTTTGAAAATCCTGGGGAAGGAGCTCATTGGCCTTGCTTGATTCCACCACCCATCCCTGGCCCAATCAACGCTGGCATGGGGTCAGTCACAGTGCTCTAACACGGCAGATCCTGTGACAACTATAGGGATCAGGGAGGGAGATATTCTCAGAAAAAGCCTGCTGGGCAGACAACTTCTTGGGTATCTGTTAAATCTTCTCTGGACATGTGCCAAACTAAGATGTAGTTGAACATCAGGGGCACCTGAGTGGATTAGTAGGTTGAGCGTCCAACTCTTGATTTTGGCTCAGGTCATGAACTCATGGTTTGTGAGATCAAGCCCCAGGTCAGGTTCTGTGCTTATAGCACGGAGCCTGCTTAGGATTCTCTCTCTCCCTCTGCTCTCTCTCTCTCTTTCTTTCTCTCTCAAAAATTTAAAAAACATTTTTAGTTAAAGATCTATTTACATATCTTTCCCTGACCACCTTTCTCAAATTGTATTCCACTTTTCAAGGGAAAAATTTTAAGTGAGAAATTTAAAAAGCCACCTCTGAGACTATAGCAGAATGAGATAAGAGAAAGTGTAGGGAGGAACATTATAGTTATGAAATAACATGTATAGGTGTGTATGGAATAACACATATAGTTACATGTATCAAATAACTCTTTTCTTCCTTTTCAAGGATGTCACCTGCCAGTCTTCCTCAAGAAAAATCTCACTCCACTCTAGTCAGTGAACAAACCTTGTTCATCCTACCTCTATATCCTTATTATAGAAAGTAATTTGTCCCCTCTTTTCTGGAGAGTTCATGGGTTTGGGGATTATAAAGACCTAAACTTTACTCCCAGTTCTGTCACTTAACTGGGCACCCTTGGCTGGTGCTTATATACCCTAAACCCATTTCATGAACTGAACATATCAAGGGTCTTGCCCTTTCCCTCGTTATTTGTTCCAGATTGCTGAAACTCACTTCCCCTCTTCCGCCTCACTGTGATGGTGTTCCTGTCTCCACCACTCGAATCTATTCAACACCTGGCATCTCTGTTACTCATTTAGAAGCTAAAGTTTATTGCTTTCCCTCCAGGGTAATGGTAAAAATATTTAACAGCCGGGACTTCATGGTCACTGACCAATTACAATGGCCAGGGTGGTGATGGACAGGATTCTGGAGGAAACTGCAAATCCCAGAGTTGGGGAGAGGTCCAGAGCCCAGGGAAGGAGCCAGGAACACCGAGGAAGGGGAGAAGGCCTGCAGGACACTCGAGGCAGTTCAGAGGGAAGTAATTCAATAATTTAACAACCAGTATAATGATAACTGTTTAAACAAACATGAGTTCTATTGATTTCTTGTGAGTATGTTATTTTTCTTTCCATTTGGACTGGAAATTCCTTGAGGTCTAAAAGCATGTCTGTAGGGGCGCCTGGGTGGCTTAGTCAGTTAAGCGTCCAACTTTGGCTCAGGTTATAATCTCCCAGTTCATGGGTTCGAGTCCCACGTCCAGCTCCACGCTATCAGTGTAGGATTCTCTCTCTCTACCCTTCCCCCACCCACTTTTTTTTTCTCTCTATCTCTCAAAATAAGTAAAACTTAAAAGATAAAAGTATGTCTGAAATTTCTTGATGCCCTATATCCAGCCCACAGTCATCCTTAGAGTAAGGATGGTATTTAAGAGCCACATCATTCAGAAGTCAGTTTGGGGAAAACACTTGGTGCTCAGAGATGGGCGGTACCTGACTAAGAAAGTCAGAACTTAAGGGGCTCCTGGGTGGCTCAGTCAGTTAAGTGTCTGACTTCCGTTCAGATCATGATCTTACAGTTGGTGAGTTTGAACCTCACGTTGGGCTCTCTGCTGTCTGTACAAAGCCCTCTTTGGATCTTTTGTCCCTCTCTCTCTCTGCCCCCCTCCCCTGGTTCTGCCTCTCTCCTTCTCTCTCTCAATAAGTAAATAAATAAACCAGGAAGGAAGGAAGGAAGGAAGAGATCAGAACTTAAGATCGACTCTTCCCATACAAAACACCTATAAGGGTTAATTTTTTTATTCCCTTCGAGACCTGGGCATTTGTGGGACCGACTACCTGAGCGGCGACTCATTTCCGAACACCTGAAATGTGAAAAACCTGGCGGGGTTGCTTCTTTAATGCAGAATCAGACTCTGAGGAGTTTTACTATTACTATTCTGGTAGAAAGTTGAATGAATTGCTAGTGCCCAGAAGTAACCATCGCACATTCTATTCCCTGTTTTTCCCCACTTGTGGTGGTGAGTCATGTCATGGAGGAAGGGAGAAAGGTGTGCTTGGAATAGAAACCTGTCATGCAATGTGGAGATCGGGAATGCATCCTTTATATATGAACTGTGGTTTCAGGAAATAGTTGAAAGAGGGTCAGTGGCGCTTCCAGTATAGTATGGGAAGTGGATTACACTTTGATGTAGCTAACATGACTTTCTCAGCTGCCTCAGCTCTAAAAGTAAGACGGTGGACTCCATTTCAGTGATCTGTTGCCATGTCGCCAACCACCTCCAAAGCCAGTGCTTTACATGGACAACCTTTTATTTATTCATAAGTCTGCAGTTGAGCTGGGCTTAGCTGGGTGGTTCTTCTGCCGGTCTGTCTGCTGTTCACTTGTGTAGATAGATGCCATCTTCTGGAAGCCCAGCTAAGGCTGGGCAGCCGGAGATGACCTTCTGCACACGTCAGCAAGGATGCCTCAGTTCTGTCTCATGTTGTCATTCCAGCAGGATATTCTGAGCTTTTCACATGGCCCAACACCTAAGCACTTATCAAGCCTGGTGACATACATGGTGAGCAATGCATCGTGTTTGCTGATGTCTCGTTGGCTACAGCAAGGTCCGTGACTGAGCCCAGAGTCAACATGGAAGGCAATTACACAGGGTGGAAGTCATGGAGGCTATGAGTGTCACAATCTATCACAGGCTACATCATCTCTAAGGTTCTTTCTGCCCCAACATTCTGGCTTCCTGGGGATGTGAGTTCTCATTTTCAAATATCAAATTTGGAAACATACTACCTGAGCGCAAGCAGCCTGAAAAATCCCTACTATTACCAAGATGACAAAATGGGATTGATTTTTCCTTTCCATTCATATTAGCACTTTAAAAAATATGAAATCTTTGGCTCTTTCAACTTGCGCTATCTATTCATTTTTGTTCAATGTCACTTGTGCAAAACCATAGCAGGAAGTGAAGGGTTAAAGAATGAAGTCGGAACCTGTGTGTTTAACAAATGTTTGCCCATTATGCTGTATGCAAAGTGTATTAACAAAATTAGAGAATCTATTTTCTCATGCATGATAGCAAGCCGAACTCAGGCATATGCTTGTCCTCTCTCCCCAAATCTTATTGAACTTACAAAAAAACATGTTTTAAAGTAAGAAAACTAGAAGTTCATAGGGAAACAAGAACAGGAACACTCAAGTAGAAAGGAGGTAGGATTCGATCAGAGTTTCTCCAACTCAGCACTACTGATATTTTGTACTGGATAATTCTTGGCTGTGGGGACTGTCCTGTGCATTTCAGGATGTTCATGAGCCCTTCTGGCCTCTACCCCCCTGCCCTCATGGGAGGATTATAAAGTTGCCCCCAGTTAAGAATCACTTGATTATTTGGATTAGGAGAATTGGAGTCCAGATCACATGCAAGAAGAGGCTGCTTCAGAGGTAAGAGATTTCAGAAATCACAGTCAACTACAGCCAGAGCAGGCGTGATCTTGCAGGTGATGTACAAGGGGAGGAGCGAAAGAAGGCCTATCTTCAGAGCAGCTGGTGCAATCACAGCCTTCTCGCTCACGGCCCCCAGAGGTTGGCTAGCTTCAAGGGAATTGCTCCCAAACCATACCCCCAGAGCTACTATTCAGATAAATTGAAGGATCTGAGTGGGAGCACATCTAGTTTAGAGGCGGAGGCTGTGGAGCAAAGCTGATACTCAAATGTTCACAACAGCATGGAGGGGAAAACATGGAACAGCAACTCTGCTCAGAAGTGAAATGAAGACCCCAGCACACCAAAGCCTTCTTGCCTGGAAATGGCGAAGCCGCTAGTCTATACCAGCTTCCTACCATGTGTTGCTCATTTCCACCAAAGCCCTCCAATTCAGGGGAAAGACTTACTGAGGAAAGGAAGAGTAAATGAAATGCAATCCAATCACTGATACTGTTGCATTTATTAATTCGTTCATGAGGAAGAATGGTCAGTAGGATTATCACACATTTGATGACACCAACCAACACTGTATACAAAAGAGAAAAAAGAGAAATGTAAATGATTACTAATAAAAAGGGTTTAAAATTTTTTTAATGTTTTATTTATTTCTGAGAGAGAGAGAGGGAGACAGACAGTGTGAGCAGGGGAGGGGCAGAAAGAGAGGGAGACACAGAATCCGAAGCAGGCTCCAGGCTCTGAGCTGTCAGCACAGAGCCCAACGCGGGGCTCGAACCCATGAACCGTGAGATCATGATCTGAGCCGAAGTCGGACGCTTAACCGACTGAGCCACCCAGGCTCCCCAAAAGGGTTTGTGTTTTTACTTTATTAATAATCAGATGAATGCAAATGAGAACTTCTCTTTTTACCTATTACAGAGGCAAAAATTAAAGAGTGATAAAATCCACTATAGGTAAATCCATGAAGAAATAGGGGTGCCTGGGTGGCTCAATCGGTTAAGCGTCCAACTTCAGCTGAAGACATGATCCCAAGGCTTGTGAGTTCGAGCCCTGCGTCAGGCTCTGTGCTGACAACTCAGAGTCTGGAGCCTGTTTCAGATTCTCTGTCTCCCTCTCTCTCTGCCCCTCCAGTTTGCACTCTGTGTCTCTCTGTCTCTCAAAAATAAATAAATATTACACAAAAAAAGTATGAAGAAATAGACTCTCTCAGATACTGTCAATGAGAAGGCAAAGTCCCTTAAAAAGTTAATTTGAAAGTACCCATCAATGGATGCTTGGGTGGCTCAGTCAGTTGAGTGTCCAACTCTTGGTTTCAACTCAGGTCATGGTCCTTGGGTTGTGAGATTGAGCCTCGAGCTGGGCTCTCCTCTGGACATGGAGTCTGCTTAAAGTTCTCTCTCTCTCTCAGTCTTTCCCTCTCTCTCTAAAATAAAATAAAATAAAATAAAATAAAATAAAAAAAGTACACATCAAAATTAAAGGTACCCAAATCTTTGCCCCATATATTCTTCATCCAGAAACTGTCTTACAGAAGTATTTGTGTACATGCTCCAAGAGGTATGTGTAAGGATGTTCATGGAAGCACTATGTGTAATATGAAAAAAAATAAGGTACAGCAAAGGTGGCTTTTCAGTAGAGGAGCAACTATGGTATGATGCTTCTGTAGAATACTGTGCAGCCCATTAATAGGATGACACAGATATGAATGTACTGATAAGGAAAGACTTCAGGTATTAAGTGAAAAAGAGTAAAGCTCAAACAATACATTAGTTATAATGTCCTTTATGGCCCGAAAAGATTCCTGTGTGTTCACATGCACACACGCACTCACACACAGCATATATAAATGCATAAGGGGTCTGGCAGGAAAAGGTAATAGGGAGAGGTCATTTTATAAGGTACATATGATACCTCTGTAAGCTTAGAAACAGCTTTCACAAAGATAAGTAAACACAACAGGTTAAATCTTACAGGTTTCATAAAGATCACATCCACTCTCTTTTACTTAAGTCAAGGAAACTGAAGATTCCTTGAATCAGAACCCCAGTGTTCTGATTCTTATTCTTACACTCTTTGAATTTATCATGTTCCTTTAAAAACATTTTTTTTAATGTTTATTTTTGAGAGAGACAGACAGAGCATGAGCAGCAGAGGGACAGAGAGAGAGGGAAACACAGCATCCGAAGCAGGCTCCAGGCTCTGAGCTGTCAGCACAGAGCCCGACGTGGGGCTCGAACCCACAAACCATGAGATTGTGACCTGAGCTGAAGTCAGAAGCTTAACTGACTGAGCCACCCAGGTGCCCCTCTCATGTTCCTTTTAAACTTCTAAGTATTTTATTGTTTATGTTAAGCCATTTATCACAGCTGTTATCTTAATCGTAGTTTTGCTTATTTAACAACCACTGTTGCTTATAATGCATTTACCTAATACGGTTTATAGAATCACCATGCCCTTTACAGAGATTTCAGTATTATAAAAAAAAAAAAAAAAAAAAAATCCTTACATAACGTATTTCTCCAAGCATAAAATTTTCATGTGACTTTTAATCACAGTTCCACTATAGCAGATCAAACAGTATACATATTTCAGTGACTAGTGCAAACATGCAGTGCCCTCACTGGTGGAAATGTGGGGCAGCTGGGAATACAGTCCTGTTCTGGATGCTCTGGGGAGACCCACGCTGCCCTCAGGGATCACATTCTAGCAACAGTGGGTGACATGTATGCTTGAGAAAAAAAAATTGCAAAGATTCTTCTGACCCAAAGGACGATGAAGGACAAACAAATATAATACTGTCTGAGAAGGTAGGAGATAAGGGTGGACAAGGTGGAGATTTCATTTCAAGGGTCTAGGATATATATTCAGAACTGGCATCCAGGTAGGTAAAATTAGAGCCAGACTTGGAAGGGATAGAAGCAACTTTAAGATGATAGAGGCTCTTCCTTTTCTGGAAGAATGTCAGATAATTTGGACAAGATCTCAGATCAGATTTCTTTAGCCTCATCTTTACTTACTATGGCTGATTCCAGAAGTCTTGTGAGTTTGAGAAGAAACAAATGAACATGAAAACCATGGCAGACCCACTTTGAAAATGTGGAAACTTAGTAAATGATTTTTTCCCTAAGACACTGACCAAAGTTTTTTAAGTCTAAAAATGGACTCTCTTTAGTCTTGGAAAACATCACTCAGTATTGTAAAGTGGATGCAGTTTCACAAAATTACTTAGAATTTTACCCAAATGCCTAATATTTATTTACTACCTTTGATCTAGCTTGAAAAGTACATTTCTCTTCTCAAATATGAGTCAATCAGGACTTAAATACAGGCCTAAGCTGGGTGTATTTCAGAGACGCTCCCCTCTTCCCGTGAGCACTTCGCTCTCCATCCTGTTCATAGCTTGGTGGAAATGCAGATGAAATGTGCTCATGCAAACATGTATGTTCCATGTCATTAGAGCTGGAAACTTCTCTAAGAGAGGATCAGTACAATCCACCACTGTCCAATTAGCACCAGAATGTTCCATAGGGGAAATATCATGTATATGGGAGGCTTTTCATTTTCTCCTTTATTTTCTTTGCATTACATGGAAAAGCTATCAAGACACATTCTTCAAAGGAGCAAGGCTTCTGCTTCTTTGCAAGCATGCTGTTTATTGGGGGGGGGGGTACAGAGCCTTTGCTAGCTGGCACTCATTACCTTCAGAATTGCTTTCTGGGCTCACAGGTGGAGAGGAAATGGATGGCGCCAGCTGATAAGGTCAGGCAGCAATCCAAACCCACAGATCAATAGGTACGCAGATAACTGTACCAGGCTGTCTTCCCTGATTGCACTTTCTCCCCAGTCACAGCTCATCACTAGGGTCACGAGGGTCAAAGGAGAGAGCATGCCTCAGTTTCAGATACATACGACCCTTGTCCCTACAGAGATGACCATGATGAACTCTTGACCAACAAATGGAAAACATGGGTCTCCGCCCCAGTCCGGACAACGTCTTCATCAGAGTGTGCACCCAATAGCCTGGATTTCTGCAGGGTATGAGGCTCTACCGGCACACATGGATTCCTGACTCCCACTGGGGGGAGTGGTGCCTGTTGGGAGCGTTTTTTGGATGCTTTGTAAGCTTGCTCTGGAAATTAATGGAAAAGGACAAGGGCCTCTTTCTTCCATCACAGCTCACCTTCAAGGTTAACAAGAATTTTCCAGGGGTACCTTCTTCTCCTCCTTCTGCTTCTCCTTCCTCTTCTTCCTCTTCTTCCTCTTCTTCTTCTTCTTCTTCTTCTTCTTCTTCTTCTTCTTCTTCTTCTTCTTCTTCTTCTTCTTCTTCTTCTTCTTCTTCTCCTCCTCCTCCTCTTCTTCCTCTTCTTCCTCTTCTTCCTCTTCTTCCTCTTCTTCCTCTTCTTCCTCTTCTTCTTCTTCTTCTTCTTCTTCTTCTTCTTCTTCTTCTTCTTCTTCTTCTTCTTCTTCTTCTTCTTCTTCTTCCTCTTCTTCTTCCTCTTCTTCCTCTTCTTCTTCCTCTTCTTCCTCTTCTTCTTCCTCTTCTTCCTCTTCTTTTTTTCTCCCTCTCCCCCTCCTCTTCCCCCTCTCTACTTCTCCTTCCCCTCCCCTTCTCCCTCCCCCTTCTTCTTCTTCTCCTTCTCTTTCTTCCTCTTCTTCCTCCTTCTCCTCCCTTCATTTCTCCTCATTTCTTCCCTCCCTCCCTTCTTTTCCTCCACAACTTTCCTGGAGTTAAAAAATTGGCTTCTTTACTGTTTAATTTCTATGTTCTATAACTAATATTTCTACCAGATTCCTCGACAAAAGAGATCCTCTGATTTTCTTGGAATTGGAAATGTCCCCCCTGGAGTCCTCCACCTTCTCTAGACTTGATACATGGCAATTGTCCTGGTATATGTCCTCATCATCCTCCTGGAGAATTTCATTGGCTGCTCTCATTTTGAGAATCTCCTGTTCCCACACTCCCTGTCTTCTCTTCTTAATTTATTCCCTTATTTTGGTGGAGCTTAGGCACCAAGCCATTGAAAGTAAAGTTTTAGGCATTGCATATTTGAAAATATCTTGATCACTTGGCTGGAACAGAATTTTCGGTTGGAAAGACTTCTTAGAAATTCAAAGGCATCGCTACACCGTCTTCCAGCTTCCAGCTTTGCTGCTGAGAATCCACTAGTGACTCAGGTTCCTGGTTTTTTGTAACTCGCTTTGAAAGCTTTCGGGGCCTTCCGAATTTCTGGATTCTCTTGTTTTGTGTAGCAGCTCATCCTACCCTCTTTTGTGTCTGCTATCCTCGAGCCCAAGGCTCCTTTGCTTGCATCTCCCTAGAAATTAAACTTTCTTTTTCCTTTTCTGCAGGAGTGGGTCAGTGAAGTCAGCTGCTGCCGTCAGACTTTCCATCAGCCTGCCTGCTAACACCTTGATCACACACTATTGCCTGTAGAACTGGGAGACCATAAATTTCGTCTGTATAAGCTCCGCAGTTCATGGTACTTTGTTACAGCAGGCGTAGGAAACTAATATACCATCTGAAATTTGACCTGCTCCA